CCTGGCGCCCTCGGCGGGAAGGAATCGAGCCCCCAGAGCGGCCCTTCAGGGAGCTAGAGTCCCAAAGGCCCTGGAGCCCCGGGGGCCCAGGCTCCCAGTCTCTCTCCCTCCCTCCTCTGTGCCCCCCTACCTGGCTGGCTTTGTGAAACTGCTTCTTCAGCCCGGCCACCGACATCGCGACTGCGACCGGCCGGGGCGGGGTGGTCCCCGGGCTTGGCCGGGCCACGCGGCCGCGACGCGCGGAGGAAGCGGGCGCCCGGGCCGGTCCCCGAGCGGCTGGGCTCCGCCGGGCCCGCCTCCCACGGCCACGGCCACGGCCACGGCCACGGCCGCTGTCACACTCGCCCACACGCGCGCACGCAGATAGCAACACTGCGTTCCGAAGCCCCTCCGCAGCCCATTGGCCAAGCCGCGGCGGTATGCAAATGAACCCGCCGGGGCCGCCCACGCCTTATTGTGGCGCGGAGACCCGGAGCCCTTGAGCCGCGGGGAAGACCCGCGCGGCCGGCTGGGCGTGGGGGGAGACGTCTCCCGAGGGTCTGGGAGCAGAGCCTCACAGTGGTTCTTGCAGGGCGCGGGACGGGCGGAAGCTGGCTTCGATACTGTCATTGGGCACGGGGAGACGGATCATCTCTCGACGCTTCTGGGACTTGGTGCGAAACCTGCTTCTGCTCACAGGCAGCATCGCCTCCTTCCGGCGCATTTTCCGTAGGTGTGTTTTGAAGCAACGGACGCTCCGAAATACGCCTGGGAGAAGGGAAATGCAACCGGACTGGGCACCTGCGGTAGGAGGAGGCGGTCTGTGGGCGGCGGGCTTTCTTCTTTCTCCACGCTGTGCTCTTGGCGCAATCTGCCCAAACAATTTTGTTCTTCTGGGAGCCCTCGAGTTCTGGAGTAATTTACTAATGAATACGGCGCTCTCCTCCCTAGAGTGCTGAGCCCACTGTATTAAGAGCAACCATCTCCAAGGTGCCATAACGCACTGGATTCCCGGAGGAATTCACCAGACCAGGGACTCAGCTCCCTCGGTAATCCCTACCAGATGTGTCAGCCGCAGAGCTTCACTTTGGACGGGGCCCAGACGGGGGCATGGAGCACTGCGTTGGCCCTCGTGTCAGAGTTATGCCCATTGATCCAGCATCTTCTCTGAATCTCGCGTCGACAGATCCCAAGAATTCCCAAGACCTATGTAGGGCAGCAACCCCAAAGCTGAGAGGGTTTGCGTGTTAGGGTCTTCACATATTCCAAAGTTTGGTCTTTTCACCCAGAGGTCCAGCAGGGAAAAGACGTTGGTTTATTAGAACCTACAGGTAGCTGGGCGTGGTGGCTCACACCTGTAATCCCAACACTTTGGGAGGCAGAGGTGAAAGGATTGCCTGAGCCTAGAGGTTCGAGACCAGCCTGGGCAACTTGGCGAACCTCGTCTCTACAGTAAATCAAAAAATCAGCCAGGCGTGGTCGCGCATGCCTGTGGTTCCAGCTGCTTGGAAGACTGAGGCGGAAGGATCGCCTGAGCCCAGCAGACGGAGGCTGCGGTGGCCTTGAGCGTGCCACTGCACTCCAGCCTGGGTGACAGAGGGAGACACCTACTCAAAAACAAAAAAAACTCCAACCCCCCCCAAAAAAAATCTACAGGAGGCACGGGTGGCAATGGGTCAGTGAGGAAAGTGTCCACACATGAGGCACAGATGTGGTCAGCGGGAAAAGAAATTGCACTTCCAAACTTTGGGGCAGTACAACAAAGAGTTTTATAGGCAAGCTAGTCAATGAATCAAATTCCTATCCCATGTTTACAATTACATTGATTGCCTGTGACAACCACATTACTTTCAGCTTTGCTTGGTCCCCTGCACACCAAGACTATTTGTTGAGAATATGCATAACCTTCAGAGACCAGCCTTGACGAAAGGCTGCTCCCTGGGGTAGGGACAGAAAGAAGCCAGATATAGCAGGAAAGAGGCAAGTCTGGATTATTACCTCACAACCTAGAACCCACTTTTAGCCACCCATCACACTGAAGAAAAAAAACATCTTCCTCCTTCATTCTCCACCTAAAAGAAGTTCCTCTTTCTGGGTCCTCACTAGGGCCCAGCAGGGGTGACCAGCAGTCCCTGTCTGCCCTTGACACTTCTGGTTTATGCCTGTTCCCTGGTGTTCTCTCTACTATAGCATTTCTCCAGTACAAAAGCCGCCCAGCCTCTCTGTGAGCCATTGGCTCCCAACTCCCAGTCAGGGCTGAGTCCCTACCCTGACTTCATCCTAGTGAGCACAGGCAACTAACTACACCTTTGGATGCCTCGGCTTCCTCACTAGGATTGGAGGATATGGACTGGAGTCAACAGTGTTCTTCTCCCAACACGGGAATAAACGAGTGAACTTAGCAGTGATCCTGAGATAAGATCAGCCAGTCAGAGGGTTATTTAATTATGACTTGAGTGAGCGCTGTGGGCTTGACTGGCCAAGGTATGGCTGACACCACAGATAGAGAACTAGAAGGTGTGAGGTTTAGTGACTCTGAGTTGGGTCAGAGTAGCAGAGCAAGATGACCTGTCTACATAATAGACCCAACACACTCAATAACATTGGGCACCACTGCAGGCTAACTATTGGTGGGGCCCCCTTGTCCTGGGCTATTCCAGAGCTGCTTGTGCTGAGCTGACTTCTCCATGCCCAAAAGTGCTTTAAATAGCACAGGTTCTAAGGAACTTCCCCCTAGCCAATCTTGCTCTGTACCCTTTGGGAGCAGAGTGGGGGTGGGGTAGTTGTTTGTTGTCGTTGTTGTTTTGAACCACTCATTGACATTTCTTGGTTTAAGTTTCCTACTTCAGTTAATTTTGGTGGTTTATCCCCATTAATCAAATGTAGAGTTGTAGATTATGATCTACAACTTCAGAATCTTTCATACACATTTTTTCCTTTGTAAAAGTATTAGTGATTTTTCAGTGATTAGACTCACTGAAGTTTGGTCTTTTAAACCAAACTTTTGAATTTACTCACCTTTGCTATGGATTTTTTGTTTTCATTGATTTCTTTCTTTCTCCTTATACATTCCTTCCTTCAGTTTTGTTCAGGAGACATCGGGATTTGAGGTTATTAACAACAGAAACGGACTCTAGTTAACATAAGCTGAAAAAGAAGAGATTGGAGGAGGATGCCAGGCAGCCCAAAGACTCACAGGAGGCATGTAGGGAACTCACTGGGGGGGGGGAGTGAGCAGGAACTAGGAATCTGAGTGCTGAGATCCAGAGAGTGTCCTGGAGAAGCTTGACTGGGATATGCAGGCTCTGTCACTGAATGCTGGCTGTGGCTATCAGACTGAAGGCTGTTCTTTCAGACACTCACTCCAGCTGCAAAGTTCCAAGAGGCAGCATCTGATTGGCTCAGTGCCCAAGTTCTAAGATTTGGACCATGGTGGGTCTCCCTAATAAAGGAAGAAGCTTCAGAGGCTAGGCAGCCAATGTGTATATATATATATATAACAGCAACAGCATATGCCCACTAAAGTTTTTTTGGCTCTCCTTAATCTCTTTAGTTGAATATGTAGTTTATGTACTTTTATTCTTTCTTGTTTTATAATCAGTACATATAGGACTATGAATTTTCCTCTGAGCACAGCTTTGGCTTTATTCTTTGTGTTCATCAGTAACATAGATCTTCCTATTATTTTCTAAATAAACTTGTAATTACAGTTTTGAGTTCCTCTTGATCCAAATGTTATTCAGGGCAATTTTTAAAACATTTTTTCTAGGGGGTTTGGGGTTTTTATTTTTATTCATTGTTTATTAAATTCTAGACTTGTGGTACTATTGTAAAACAACATGTCTTGGGAGGTTGTTGTTTTTTATAACTATAGCTTATGTATCATGGAGGTTTGAAATAATATGCATTCTCAGTTTCTAGCATACAGTTTTTCAATTTATCTGTCTGCAACAAGAGTGTGTATTTTATCCCAGCTCCCAGCTCAGAAGAAGATTTCTGATTCATGCTAGCTGCAACTCAAGGCTTTCCTTTGATATCACTATCACCCGTTCAGTCACCCAAGGGCCCATGCCTCCTCTGCTTAGGGAAGGGGTATAACAAATGTCCTGGACTATTTGACAGAGTTGTCTACATGGGATGAAACCAATGGTACCTGGGAAAAATCTTGAGGCACAGACAAGCACCACACTGAGCTGAGGGATCTTGGGCATTTGGTGACCTTCACAGGTCAATAACAACAGGGTTGTCAATTGCACTGTTGTCGTCTCTGGCATTCTGGCATATGGACCTTGCACTGGCAGAAGTTCAAGTGTTCTCTTGTGCTGTTTTTCTTGTGGCCCTTGGCTCTCACCTATTCTTTCTCTTTCCTGGTCCACAGAATGCTGTGCTAGTATGCATGGACCTCTCTGTCTTGTGCTTAGACCAGTTTTTGATTCTAGTGTGTATTTGCAGTCCTTGTAGTTATGCAGTGAGTGATTCGCATCTATCTGTGGGGGGGAAAGAGGGAGCAGAAAAATTATGGGTAAAGAGTGGAGGGAAGCATGCTGATTAATGTTTCAAAATAGTATCCCATCATAGAGCTCATAAAATATTCCTAGCAGATTCAAATGCTCTGTATCCCAATATTTTTCTACTTCACCTGTAGTAAGATGAAGACAGATACTGTATCCATTCTACAATCTCTTGGTACAATTGTGATGATGTCTGCTATACCTTACATTTGGGAGTTTTGCTTTAAACATTTCATTGCTATGGTATTCTGCTTATAGGTATTTATGACTGTCATTTTTTATGTTGATTTTTCCTTTTATCTATAGAAAATAACCCTTTGTTCTGCCTATAGCTTTTTTACCTTCTATTTTTCTTTGTCACATAACCATATTTGTATCCCTACTTTTTGCTTGTATGTGCTTCATATATCTTAATTGATCCTTTATTTTTGTCATTTCATTTTGTTGTAGATGTCTGCTCTTATAAACAATATTTAATTTTGTAAATGGATCAAAATATGTCTTTGTCTTTACCTAGAAAGATTTAAAGCACTTACACTTGTTATAAAAAGGATAAATTTGGTCTTAGTTTTGTCATTTTATGGTATGGTATATATTTTTATTTACATAGTTCTTTCTTCTGTCATTATTATTACTAAGATTTTTCTGTGCTTTTTCTTTCCCTTCGCTTTTGGAAGTTATTTAATTTTTACTCAGTGAGTGGTTACCATTGACCTAGAATATGTTTAAATGTATATTCTCTCTCAAAATCAGTAACTAAACATTTTGTATGGAAGCCATGTCATGACCAGAAGCCACCATAGTTGGGGCACGTGGACTAGGACCACCTCATCCTTTCCTGCATCTCACACCACCTCCTGCTCCCAGCTGTCTGAGGACCCTCAGGCAGAGACCAGAATTGACCCCATTTCTTTTATCTTAAACAGCAAAGGAACCAGTTTGAGACTGGGGTGCAGGGTGTTGGTTTAAGACAGACATTTAAAAATACATTTTAAGA